GGGGTCAATGCGGCTAAGGGGTCACAACCTTTTTTTTTTTTTTGCTTATACAGAGACCTCAACATTTTTTTTTTTTTTTTTTTTTTTTTATAAAACAGCCTTAAATGTTAATGAGGTTTATTAAATATTATTTTTAATCTGGTAAATAAATATAATTAATAAATTGAATAATTGATTTCTCCTTATTACATCATTATTGGGCTGCAATTTGAAAAAAATTGTAGACCTATAAATTCCCACCGTCGTCTGTCTATCGTTTCTTAATTTCGAGAACGGTGTTAGATAGCTGAAAGTCAAATCCAGACATGAAAAGCCTAGAGACAGGAGGTCCCGATTAACTATATACAAACTTCTGTTTTCGGCCGAAAGTCATGTTATTTCAATTCAAGTTTGCTCTTGAACTGAGTTAGATGCATAACCGGATGACTTCGCTGTTAACAGGAAAAGTATGATGTACAGGGAGAAGCCACTACTAAACAAGTGTATTGTGATGATGTCACAATAAATAATCATTCATTAATAATATAGAATAATGGAAGCGCGATATTTATTTCATCATTAATTTATATACCAACATTTTAAAGTTAAATTATTTATTTTAAGAGTTTTATATAAACAATATTTAGAATGATTGTGGATAAGTGATTAATATTTAATAATTTATATCCAAGTTTTGTTATGCTTAAATAATATAATAAAAATGAAATAATGAAAGTTTTATTAAACTTTATAAATAACACAAAGAGAAGAGAAGCGGGCAGAAGAACTTACAACAACGGCAACAGAATCTACAACAGAAGGAGAAGAAATGGCAGAACCAGTAATTACTGAAACTGCAGAAACACAAAGAGAAGAGAAGCGTGCAGAAGAACTTACAACAACGGCAACAGAATCTACAACAGAAGGAGAAATGGCAGAACCAGTAATTACTTGACAAAGATTTTCCATTCTCACCTTTTAACAACNTAAAAATGAAATAATGAAAGTTTTATTAAACTTTATAAATTTATTTGGATGTATTTTAAACGTGTGTGTGGTTTACAATGTCTTAAATGCATCATTTCTCAGATCTATGTTATGAGATTCTAATGTAAAATTGTAGTGTAAACATCCTGTAATTACATATCTGCTTTCACTGTAATAGAATACTTTGTATATAAAATCTAGAATGTAATAAAGATTATTTGTTTTTAGAATAAAAATGAATTAATATAATACACTGCACAAACGGTAAGTAATAGCCTAATTACGATTTTGAATCTTTCTGGTGTTTATGAAAGAAATAGATATTTTACACTAAAATATGAAATTTTGCTAATTAAAGGATTATCTTGGGAACAAAGCTTTCCTCTTAATTAAAATGTTAATAGACAAATGAATTCCATCTGTTGTGTTTCATGTACTTAAAATAAACTTGTTTGTATTATAATGACCATAATTGTACAGGGTGTCTGTAAAATCCGTGTGCAATTTTAAAAATTTATAACTTTATTAGTTTTTGTGATAGACAAATTATGTAGAATGTATTGGAAATAAGAAAGTCTATACTGTACATATTTTTTATTGTTTTATTGTAGCCAAGTTCAGCCAACCAAAGGACACAGTTTACTTTTTCTTCAGTTGAAGCCACGAGCCACATGTAATTATGAAAAACAAGTATTTTTAGTTTCAAAAAATTGTTAAATTATTGTGTTAAAGAGTTACTAAATAATTTTACTTAAACTGGATACATTAAGCTTTCTAATACGTTTACAGATTTTTTCTATCACGAATACTAATAAAATTATAAATTTTTAAAATTGCACACGGACTTTATGGACACACTGTATAAACAAATAGTAGTATAATTTTAAAGATTATTTATTTTTTAAAATGTTCTACTTTTCATTTTGTAATTCCTTTATTAATTTAAAAATTTCGTATTCATCTCTCCTTAAATGCATTGTATACCTATACTGTTGCCAGCTGGCAGTCTTATAGACATTTAAATGTTTCTGTCAATAGTTTAAAATACCACATAAACAAAATTATATTTTAATTGAAAAAGTATTTTATAAAATTATTTCAGTAAGTTTACGTATAATGATAAATCAATTTTTTCATTGTAATTTTGAAAGCTTTTTATGATTCACAGGTGGACAGTACATCATCTGTGAATCATAAATTTTCAAACGTCAAAAAGTAACCATGTTTATATCTAACTTTTGGTAATAAATTCATTTTGCTATTTACACTTCTCTTTGTTTTATGGACCATCAGAGGTTGAAAAAAAAACAATCTTTGTATTGATTGGAGGACGGATAACCAAGGGGTCAAGGTGGTAGTCTTTTGCATCAACCCAATAGTTTCCAGCCGTTCTGGAACCTCACAAATTTCAGTTGCTCTTAGGCGTGCATGAGGTAAGCATTGCTTTTTTGAGTGTGCTAAACTTCGTTTTTTAGTTTTGTTTTTTATACTGTATATTTAATCAATATGGCACCGAAGAAAGAGAAAAGTGACAGTGAAAATAGAAAACGTTTTAGTGTAGCATTAAAGAAAGAAATTATTGCAAAATACGAGAATGGCATTCGTGTTTCTGACATCGCTAAAGAATATAATATGACAAAATTGACTATCTCTACAATTATTAAAAACAAAAAAGCATTTAAGGCTGTGAATGTGATATCGAAACAAAGATCTAAAGTTTTAGATGAAGTTGAAAAACTGTTGCTAATGTGGATCAATGAAAAGCAACTTGCTGGAGACAGTGTTAGTGAAGCTATAATTTGTGAAAAGGCTAAAAATTTATACAATGACTTGTTGACCCAGACACCCAGTACAAGTGCAGACAGGCAGGACTTTAAAGCGAGCCGAGGGTGGTTTGATAGGTTTCGTCGACGAACTGGCATTCACAGTGTCATAAGACACGGGGAGGCTTCAAGTTCAGATGAAAAAGCAGCAAAAGCATTTGTAGATGAATTCGCAGAGTTTGTAAAAAGTGAAGGATACGTCTGGAATCAAGTGTTTAATTGCGATGAGACCGGTCTTTTTTGGAAAAGAATGCCTAGACGAACGTACATAACCCAAGAAGAGAAAGCACTTCCCGGGCACAAGCCCATGAAGGACAGACTCACTCTTTTATTTTGCGCTAATGCAAGTGGTGACCTCAAAATCAAGCCACTTTTAGTCTACAACGCTGAAAATCCCCGTGCCTTTAAGAGCAAAAATGTGATAAAGTCCAAACTGCCTGTACAATGGAAGGCAAATAGTAAGGCATGGGTAACTCGGACTTTATTCATGGATTGGCTCACAGAAGTGTTTGCTCCTACTGTTAAAAATTATCTTCAGGAAATGGATCTTCCTCTTAGATGTCTTCTCTTAATGGATAATGCTCCAGCACATCCACCAAATTTGGAGGACGACTTGGATAGTGAACATGACTTCATCAAGGTCAAATTCCTTCCACCCAACACAACTCCATTACTGCAACCAATGGATCAGCAAGTGATTTCCAATTTTAAAAAGCTGTATACCAAGGCACTGTTTACCATGTGTTTTCAGGTTACCAATGATACCGACTTAACTCTTAGAGCTTTTTGGAAGGAGCATTTTAACATCCTGCATTGTATCAACCTTATTGACAAAGCCTGGAGTGAGGTCTCTCACCGCACTTTGCAATCGGCCTGGAGGAAACTTTGGCCAACTTGTGTCCCAGAGCGAAACTTTCAGGAATTTGAAGAAGAGAGCTCTCCTGATGTAGTGCATGAAATCGTGTCCATTGGCAAGAGTTTGAGAGTAGAGGTAGATGATGCAGACGTGGAGGAGTTGCTGAAAGACCATCAAAATGAACTAACGACAGAAGAGCTGGTTGCCATGCAGGAAGAACAGATGAAAGTCTTACAAGAAGAGCATTCGTCAGAGGAAGAGGCTAGGGAAGAAATCACCAGTGCTGAGATCAAGGAAATTTGCAGAAAATGGAATGATGTGCAGGAATTTATCGAGAAGCACCATCCTAACAAAGTTGTGGCTAATAGGGTCATTAATTTAATGAACGACACTGTGCTAGCGCATTTTAGAAAAATTTTGATTAAGAGAGCAAGACAATCAACTTTAGACCACTTTCTTGTTCCTTATCAAAAGAGACCTCGACTCGAAGAAACTCCCGATGCAGTGCTACCCGATATTTTTATGGAGGGGGATTCCTCTTCCAAGCATTAAGCTCCGTAGAAACAAAGGTATATACAGTGCTACTTTATTAAAGTTTACATATTTGTTGCTGTAATGATAGATACTACGTTTTGTTATATTTTCATCAAAGAAAACCCATTTTACAAATAAAATTACAAAAATACTGACGGCTAGAACGGATTAATTGTATTTGCATTAATTTCTATGGGAAAAATTGCTTCAATTAATGAACGGACTCGTGGAACGGATTACGTTCGTTAACCGGGGTTTTACTGTACTGTCATCCTTATATTTAGTTCATTTAATCTAAATGTTTGTATAAGCAAATGAAACAGGATCTAATTAATCTGTATATCGTCCTTTCTTTTAAACTTTTACAGCCAGTTTAGTGCCACTTCAAGCCTACCCAATATATTTAAAAAATTGGTTATGGGACTTACCAAAGGACGAAATAAGATCTTAAGAAATACTAATGTCTTCATATTTTGTCCTTGTTGAACACCAAAGGAGCTTAACGGTGGAGCCGGCTTATCAGAAGCTATTTTTCCGTCTCAATAAGCAAAACACTATAAAAATTTCCTTTCGGCGATGTGACAATCATAAAAATGTACATTGATAAAAAAGGCGGACAGCCGGATGACCGAGCGGCTACCGCTCTCAGACCCGGGATTGAAATTTTATGGGGGCTCCATCCGGATATATTCGGCCCCATCGCTCACCACCTAGTTGACCCCACAATGGGCTTGTGTAGAAAAAAGCCCTCTTAGTGCCCACAGGACAAAGTTTTAAAAAATCTTAAGCTCCCTTAAATTACTCTACTTAAATAATATGAAATGAAAAAATGATGTTAATTTATGCATGTCCATCATGAGTCTAAACTTTTGAGATATTTAATTTAGAGTTGCGTACTTATTTAGATGCATGTTTACTTTTTAAAAATATTTCACAAACAAATATTTTTATATAAAACTTTAATAAATACATTTGTTTCATTTTATGTTTTATGTACTGTACATGTATGTAACACAAGCAGTAAAAATATTAATATAGCATGCATAAACAAAAACCAAAAACAAGAGATATCCAGAAATGTTTATTCCCACATGACAAATTTACAATGAAATCAGAGGAAAGATTTTTCAGCATGGGTCAACAATTGTCCAGCATTTAAAACAAGGTATATAAATAAATTTAACTATCTTCACTGTGATTTATTTATTACTCATGAAAGATAAAGCAATCAAATTCACTGTTGCTTTATTCATACAAGTAATTACAGAAACAGATGAATACAAATGTAGATGAAACAAAGTGCATGAAAGAGGAGAGGAGTACATTAATGCTACACAGTTAAGAATATCCAATCACAGTAGTGCTGAGTCAATTCTTGCAAATCTGTGGGAACGTGGGAAAGACCAATTCACATTTTAACTGATTGCTGTACACTTTCATGCTGGCAAAGTTTCTGTATACTTAATATACAAAGATCAAAATATTAACAACTGTAATATTTCTTCTTTGACGAAATGGAATGGTTATTGACTAGAACCGCAAGAAATTGCATCCTGGCTTCTAGTATTTTTTTCATGCGAGGTTCTCACATAAATTTATGAAATTCACATTCATATCAATATACACTGGAAAATGTTAATCCAACTTGAAATTTCAAACCAAGGCACTAAACCAAAGAATAGAAGACTTCTGTAAGTAAAACAATATCATGTGAACATATATTTGTTTATTCTTAATTAAATAATTATATACTATTTTTGTGGAAAGATTTTTCTTTATTTGATGAATAATATAACTATAAGCAAACAAAGAAATAAAATAGAATATTAATTCTTCTAAAATATTAGAAAAACAAATAGGTATTATATTTATTTTAGTAAAAATGCCTATTAATTAATTGCTTTTTATTGAATAGGAAAATTTATTCCATTTTTAGTGTAAACAATTAATGAAATATTAAAAATAACTGGTTATATATATTCATCCATTATTATATTCGATTAGCAATGTAGTTAATTAACTTTTGTCTCTGCATCTTTATGCATTGACAAAAGCTATTTATGATATTGAATGTCATCACTTGAATTTTTTTATTAATATGAGAGACCAACTCCTTTTTGATTCATAGATGGTCAAGCAGCATAAATCAGAGGGCACCAAACTTTTCTGACTGTCAACACCTTTAAGGATTCCTCGACCTTTTAATCGATCCCTCTCACAAAAGTCAATATCTTCTTAATTAATTACTTTGAAAGAATCTTCATTCATCTTCAGTTGAATTTAGAATTAAAACAAGTAGATAATGAATCCAGAAATGTTTTTAAACTGACTTATAAGTATTGGTATTATTAATTATTGGATAACATAATGTAAGTTTTCGTATTTTGTGATTTATATTGATATTTATAACAAGAAAAACATTACTCCATTTTATAAAATCTTTTTAGAAGAGGAAAATTAGCTAAATGATTGAAAGCAAAGTTAATTTTTTATCCTAATACAGTTTCTCACTAAAACTATTAATCACAAACTGTAAAACAGAAATTAGCAATTATGAAGAGAAAGTAATTTACTTAATTTTTAGTAATATCCTACAGTTTACTATACTTCTATTCTCTTATATTTTAAATATGCTTTAGAAATTTTTTTGCAAAACTATTATAATTACAGTGAATTACTGTTCATAAGACAAATATAAGTATTTTATTTTTTCAGATTAAACAAAACTTTTTCATTAAGAAAAACAGTTGATTAATAAAGTTTTTGTTATGTAATATTTTTAATTAAATCACCCATCACATCTGATGATAGTTTCTCAAGATTTCTGATACTTATGAATGAGTTTCTACTTCAATTTTCTCTTTTAATATATATTTTCTTCATAAATAATCTTTTTCTTTCCATAAAATCAAATGAATTTTAGGTCATGAGATAAATATTTTGTCTATTTTATTTCTCTTACTACTGTTTTGGTATCAAAGCATTGTCTTTATCTCTCTTTTTTATTTATATTTACATTTATCCCAGTAAGTTAAAAGAAATTCTGAGACATGCAAATAATTAATTGAATTAATTGAAATAATTTAACACTGAAATTACTTTTTTCTGTGTCACAAAAAAAATTTTTTTAATAAAGTTCCCTTAAAATTTAGCTATAATGGCTAAGACAGTTAAGATGCAGCCTATGCTTAAAGGGCCAGGATCAAATTTGGACAATCAATGCTGGATATTTTTCATTAGTGATACATTCCGGACACATTTGACTCTGTTTCTCATCACCCAGATGCTTCCATTGTGGTCCTGGTCAAACTCACAATGAGTATAGGAAAAAAAAGCAGTCCTCTTATTACTACTCTTAGAGGAAAAAAGTAAAATTTTAGTTAGCTGGAGTCAACTTATATTGATGACTGAGATTATTTAGGATTTTAGAAAATTAATTAAAACTTATATTCTTAACTGTTATATAAATTCTATTATTTTTAAACTTACCTTGTTATTTGCAAATTAGATTATAAAGATTTTAGCCTGAACAGTTTGCCTCTCTCTTTTTGATCTCCTTATACATCACAATCTTTTAGTCAAAAATATTTTGTGCACCAAACACTTCTGTTTATTCAAATTTATGTTGCAGAACCTTAGTTATTTCTTATATTTACAGCCAAATACTCTTGAAAACAAGTCTTTATCCAGGCACTGCTGATATGATACTTTTTACAGAGCACTATAATCATAATTTCAATATATTTGACATCACTAACTATACCAAATGTAACATAACTTACTATTTTATCCACATCAAATCTGATGTTCAATGTCACTACTTAACAATTAATAAAATGTCAATATTGCTAATCATAGCAAGGAACAAAAAGCTAAGATCCATAATGTTTGCTCAGTCAGTTAATATTATCATTCAGTATTATTGTTTCATCTTGGACACCTTGCAATATCTTTAAGGAAGATGCATCACATCTTTGTTTCATGGGAAAGGGAGGAACATGTAGCTGCAAGATTTTTTCAGAATCACAAATTGTATAGAAAATTGAAGGCTGAATGTGGATTCCAAAAGTTGATACCTCGAATCACATATTGTTTCCAGATGAAAACAAAGGAAATGCTCCAAACTGACTATTGATAGGTGTTTTTGGAGATGCACAGAGATAAATAAAATCTTCTGATTGTAAATGTGAACAATTAAAGGTTGGTTCCGATAAACTTCTATGAATTTTTGGTAGAGATTGAACTAATGATTCTAATGAAGCCAAAATCTGTAAAAAAAAATTATATGAATTAATTTTACATTAAAAAGTATTAAAAATTACTCAGTTTAACTTGAATGTTTTAGTATTTAACAATACTTGTCAGAAATAAATTAAAAGTTGGTGGTATTAGAAATTTTTAATTATTGCAGATTGATCATTGGAAAATTTTAATTAAATTAATTAACTTTTCAAAATTTTTACATCTAAAAAGTCATTAATGCTTACAGAATGCATAGCACCTAAACTAGCATTTCCCAATTAAGATTCTTTGGATCCAAGTGTTCTAAGTTTACACTTGGATTCAATGACTTATTTTCAGGAAGTTGTGGGTTTTAAATCTGATCAGAGACATTGTTAATGTTGGATATGAAAAATAAATTTAATAAATCAATTTAATAAATGATGAAAAAAATATAAACTCTGATGATAATTTACAGATTTTTTTCATCATTTATTAAATTGAACTAAATATAGCACCCTTTTCTTAACCAAATTTTTAAAAATGGAATTTTATTTTATTTTCCCTTTTTGATGGTTACTCATTTTCCCCAGCCTGTGATCATTAATTTATGACACAGAAGAGCCTTTCCCCTTACCTCAAAAGTTAAAAAAAATCTTTTCTAAATATTGATGATACAATTTAATACCATGGACGATATTTCTTTTATTTTTAACAAGTGTGCTAAACAAAATTTTCCTGATTGAAAATGTTGGAGATTATTAGACTGCTATCAGTCAAATTAGCATGATTTTAAAATGGGCCAGATGTTTGAATATCACCTCCAGCATTATTCACAAAATACATTTTCAGGGAATTACTAGTTTCTCAGGTTCCAAAGAAAGTTTGCTGACTGAATTGTTGGGACTTATTTATATATAATTATGATTAACAGCAACTTAATATCTCAAAATGCAATGTTATTAATTAATGCCAAGCAATTGCTGTAATATATTAGGCTATTATCTACTACTATTAATAATTAGATTTTAAGTAATTTGGTATCAGAGGTAGATATTAGGCACCATCTCTTATTGAAATTAATAATTATAATAATTTAATATTTATTAAATTTAGAATAATCCAGAAGAAATGTAACTGGAATGTGTCTGCATAGTAAGTGGGTGTTGCAGGTTCACATCCCACTCTCGGCTGGTTCTTTTGTTCCAGACTGTTTCAAATTATTTAATAAATATTAAATTTATAGTAATTGTTAATTTCAATAAGAGATGGTGTCTAATGTGTACCTCTATTACCAAATTACTTAAAATCTAATTATTATTATTATTATTATCAAAAAATAGCCCAATACATTACAGCAATTGTTTGGCATTGGTCAATCACGATTAGCATGCTCTTAAAGTGGGAGATCCAGACTATTAACCATGTGCAAATTTGTTAATTTTATTTTAAGAATGAAGTATCAATATAAGAAATTCCACTTAGGACATTTACAAGTTGTCTGTAGTGATAATTACACAATGGCAAGCTATGGAACTAAAAGGAAACTATCCATTTTGACTATAAAGGACAATCTCTGATTTAAAAAAAAAATGAAGCAGAAAGAGTGCAGAAAGATTTGGCAAGGAATTTAATTATTGATGCAAATTCAAGCTGTTAACTCAAAGAATAGGAAAATGTTAATGAAGAAAAAGAAAAGGCAACCAAATGAAGCTTGCAGAGCAGTGTTTAAATGATTTTAACCAGTATTGCATAAAAGAATTTCCAGTAAATGAGCAATGTTGTAATAAAAGATTCTGCAGTTTATATCTGAACTGGGTATTCAACATTTTCACACCAGCATCAAATGACTAGTGTGACAAACTTGAAATCTGACTTTAATTGCATTGTTGGTAATAGTGCAGAGATGAAGGTCAATGTCACCAAGTGGAAACTACACTCATGTTTGTAAAAATTGCAACACCATGAAGAAACTGTGCAAATTGAACTAAACTTACAGGAAATGTAAAGTAAGGTAAGACATGCAAATGAGTAGAATTACAAAGTGATTGCACATGAGTGGAACGAGAACCGGCTCCTTATCAGCTGCTTGTTCCAGATATATAAAGGATTGTAAAGATGTGTCGAAATCCATTTATCTTCCTCTGTCTGCAGTAAACGTTTCATTGGTAGTTAATATGCCTCATCAAAAGCGGAGGAAGCCATACCAAGAACTAATGGACGAGGCCGCATCATTGGTATGCAAGAGGGTGGATTTTCTTATCGAGAAATCGCAGCCCGCACGCAGTGTAATGCCACAACAGTGATGCATGTTTGGAAGAAATGGACTGAGGAGAACCAAATAAAGCAAAAACTTGGCAGTAGGGCAAGCAATAGCACAATAGCATGGGACGACAGACACCTCGTCTGCATGGCTGTGACGGACCATACAGCAGCCTCTCGTTTGTTAGCACAATGTTGGAGCACAGCTACAGGTGTTTTGTTGTCTAGCTCCACAATTCATTGCTGTCTTCTGCAGCATGAACTGCGTGCAAGGGTTCCTCTACGCAGGATTCCCCTCTTGCTGATTCACAGACACCTTTGACTTCAATGGGCTCAGCAACACAGCACGTAGCGTGCCCAGTGGCAACAAGTTGGTTTTTCTGACAAATCTCGCTACAATCTGCAGTACAATGATGGAAGAGTATGTGTCAGACATTACAGAGGGGAACATCTGCTCCCACAGTATGTTATCCAGCGTCATACTGCACAAACACCTGGCATTATGGTGTGAGATGCTATTGGGTATAATTGTCGATCCCATCTAGTGCACATTGCAGGACCTCAACAGTGATCACTTCATACAGGTAATTGTGGAGCCAGAGGTCCTGCCCCTTCTTCGATGCATTCCAGGTGCTGTATTTCAGCAGGATAATGCCCATGCACATGTTTCTCAGACTGCACAAGCCTTCTTCAGTACACAACAGGTTTTGCTTCTTCCATGGCCTGCTTATTCCCCAGATATGTCGCCCATCGAGCATATCTGGGATTTCATTGGTCGGCAACTCGCTCGTACAGCTGGTGGGGCACACAATAAGACTGAACTTTGGCATCAAGTCGAAGCCATCTGGAATGCCATTCCCCATTGTTGGTTCACTACGCTTGCAGGAGTAATGAACAAAAAAGATTATAGTTAAATAAAGTATGCAAAGAAAAAAAAAATCAAAGAACGAACATATGGCAAATTACATTCTATTTACCACCATGCAGAATAAGTTAAATCCAAATAAACATCACTGTTTAGAAAAATTAATTGGCACATAAAATATTGCTTAGAAATTTATTACCTAAATCCTAACATCTCAGTTCCTTTGTCCACATAACTCAAAAATGTGCACTTAGATCACTATAAATTTCACTTTTATTCAAAATTGGCCAGAAGTGGAAATAAATAATTTTGCATGCCAGCTCTTCAGATGACCTATTGATTATATTGGAAGAGATCAACATAGGACTCTTTTTTGAATAGTTTTGAATAGTTCATTAAAGTTCACACACACCGAAAAAACTGCAAATTTTTTTGCACTTTGACGTTTCAGTGTCCAGAGTCCAAAAATGTAAAAATCTGGAGATGGTTATTTTGCTGGATTGCCATGCTTTCCCTCTTATATGTAACAGACAGGAAAGTAAAAAACTGGTTTCGAAAGTGCGAGAAAACAGAAAAAAAGAGAATACAACAAAGAAGATCCTTATGCAGTGTATAGATTCATGGTGCCCAAAGTTTTTCATAGCCTTAGAAAATGTAGCAAGAAAAATGAAATATGATAGAGAAATTAGAAGTTTTTATGGTACCAATGGAAAAGAAATCATGGAGTCAGATGTTTTATGTCAGATCAATCTTACACATGAGGCTGAGGGAAAAGAAGTGAGAAAAGGATGAAGGCTACTGTAATGGAGACAGAGTTTGATATGAATAAAAAGGTTAAACAGAAAGATGCAAGATTGTTAGAGGAAATAAAGGAGAAAAAGAATACATAGGTAGTCAAAGAATGATAGGCAATTAACATGAAAGATGGGAAAGCACTAACATTGGCATTAGCACTACTTGATTATCCATTTCAGATAATAAAGTAGAGCAGATAAAGAGTGAAAGTTTGATCCAAAATATTTTATTCAGTAATAAAAAAAAATCTGGAAAATGAAGCTTTATTATACGATTTTTCTGCTTAATATTTTAGAATTTGCTTGAAATCTTGAACTTATAAAATATCAATTTTTTTAAAAATTATTCAAATGTAAGATAGAAGTTACTACTTTAACTGCCCCTGATAATAAGTTCAACCAGCTTGAAAATACGTGGGCTTTGATGAATGATGTGTTTAATGCTAGTTTTCTCCAATAAAGTAATTTTATAAAAATTAATAAAATAAAATACAGAAAAAGAAAAGTTGTTTAAACAAATAAAAGATTTCTTTAGAAATATTTTATGCTATGTATAATAAGTATCTAAAATTAAACATATTTTAATAAAAAATAGTCATTATATCTTTTCATATATTATTGTTTTAAATTTAAACTTACTTGACGAAAAAGTGGCCTATCTTCACGAGCAAATTTAATACAGTCTTGAATTAAGCGATTAAGAGCTTTTGGTGTATCTGATCTAACACTTTGAAGATCTGGTTGAAGATAACCATGACCAACCATAAACAGTATCTATTTCACAAAATAAAGTTTATTAATTTATACAATAAAAAATTGTCATTCATTAATAAATAAATTTCAATGAAGTAATTTATTGATTTTATTTATTTTGTGATTGAATTATTTATAAAATATAAATACCATAATTTTGTGCAAATAGCCTGTGGATTGTGTGTGTTTGAAAGCAGAAATGGCTTAAGTGAAAAACATGAAAATTCTTTACATGCTACAGACATGTTATAAAATGTATTTGTATATTTTTATTGTTTTTACCTTTTATTTACTTTTATGTTTATTTGCCAGTTTTAATGGATGTTGTTTTATACAGGGCTTTTGTTTAGGAAAGATAATCTCTTGTTCTCTGGAACATTACATGATTTAAACCATAATAAAGAAACTGCCATCATAATTTTTTTCTAAAATTATCAAAAACACACGTACATAGTCAACCATTAGTTCTTTCCTGTTCATTTTGTGTGTGTCAAAACAAAATTTCACCTGGAGTGGATGAAAATAGGAGTTACAGAGAATTCCCTTACATACACACACAAATGATGGTCTGGTCTTTATAATAAAAAAAAACATTAAAATCTTTCTTTATAAAATTACTTTATACACTACATTCTAAGTAAACACTCTATTGTCTTTGAAAAGGTTTCCTTGCTGTTTTCCTTTAGTAATAGACACCTCAATATTGTTTCAGTTTCTTGAACGAGATAAAGCAAGATAGAGTTGACCAATTTTATTCTTACTCTTTCCCCTATGTTTCTTTTTCTATTTGACAAAATAGCAAGTCTTTTCTTTTTAATTCCACATTGATAAAACAAAGATAACTTGTATGTACAATTAGTTAGTTGATAACACTCTAAATAACAGGCTTGTTAGATCATTACTTCCAACTGGATAATAAAATGTCATGTGATCACTATAGAAAGATATTAAAAAAAATTTGTTATAGAAGTGACACGATGCGGCTACCTTTTTTTAAAGTTTAAATTTAATGAAGTAAGTTTAAAATATGCTATTTGCCAAAATATTTAAAAATGCAACTTAATGGAAATTCTGTTGTCAAGCATGAACTAAATGAAGTCACTGACATCACTGCAAACATAAGTGTGATCACTAATCTGAAATCAATAAAACGTTTATTCTATAGTTAATATTTCTGCAAAATAAGTAGCCTGTACTTTCCGTCAGAACATAAAATGAATATAACCAAAATTCCATCTGGATTAGACAAAGATTACAGGAGTTATATGGAATTCACACACATGATGGCTTTTATATTATTATGAACATGCAATTAAACAATAATAAAATTTTAGAGTAACTTTTTATATTAATTTCATAAATATCTGTTATAAATTAATTGCAATCAACAGTTTAATATATGGATGAATGAAATCATATTGTGATAGTCTAAAGAAAAAGTTGTTTCAAATATATCCATTATATTATTTAATTTAAATAGATGAGGAATAAAACACTCTAACAAGTATTCATTTCATACTCTAAAATTCATCTAATATGTTTTCATAAGAATAAACATATAAACAATAAACACTTGATGTTATTACTTGAAATAATATTTGCGTTATATATGTACAAAATATTATTACTCTTTTATATTTATTATGGTTTTAAAATAAACTTACCTGATCTTTATTATTTATATGAGTATATGGGAGTTGTCCTGTAACTAATTCATATAATACAATACCAAAAGCATATACATCTGACTGGAATGAATATGGATTTGGATCTTTCATTCTTATGACTTCTGGTGCCTACAAAAAAAAGAACACTTGCTATAATTATTTCTGTCTTTAAACTGATAATATGATTTAGTATATTTAGTAATTTATGCTATATATTTTATATTGCATTGTATTTTATATAAATAATTATAATTTTTTACAGAAATGTAAATT